CAAACTTTGTGGGTTTTTTAAGCCAAAAATGGGAGGCGGGAAATTTAGGCGGGAAATTTTAGTTCTTCTAAACCTATTTAAAATTAGCCCCAATAAGCACTCCACATTCTTAAGCACACAAAGCAGTTCCTTATCTGTATACACCTCTGAACACAGAACCGCAGAAGTGGCTGCTGAGAGAACAAAGAGCTGAGCGTGCTTCTAAAGGACCTACTCACGGGAAATACACGTCAAGAATCAGCTGACTTCCCCAGACAGCGTGGACTCACGTCCCAACACCACCAGTTCCCTTAGACGCCACACACCTCCTTCCTCCCCAGGTCACTGCTGTCACATGATTTCATTGTGCATCTTGTCACTCCCCCAAAATGTGATGGTCTTACTGTCCATATTCATGTGGATTTCCTGTTCCATTGTGTTCTTTCCTGTTTCCATGTTTCATCAGAAGAAGGTGCCAGATGTACAGGTGAGGCCCATGTACAGGACTGCCAGGACAGCCTGAGGAAAGTACCAGGGACGAGCCAGGAGATGTGGGGACCAGGTAAGACCTCGTCAGCCAGAGCAGCAGGCACGCCTGTCTCACTTAGCAGGGAGGCCACTGGGCACGCAGATGCTCCCAGTCCGTGGCCTGGGCCTGGGTGGAAGCTACAGAGCCCCCCTGCGGGGCTCCCAAGGCCCCGTCTTCTTCCTTCAACTTCACCCTCTGCTGGCGGATGAGCCTGGGTGTCACCCTGGCCGGTCCTCTGAGCTCAGCTGCTCTGGTTGGAAGCCAAAGGCTGTGTTTTGGCGCCATCTGGTGGCTGATTCTGCTCCAGCGTCACTAATGAAGGATTTCTCTCCCAGTTACATGGCGTTGGAGGGAGACCAGAAGAGATTAGGACGGGGCTTTGCATCCCAGATGGGAAGGAGTGTCTGATCAGATAGCACCAAGCACAGCGAAAATGAGGCAGAAAACAGAAGATCCGGTTCGGGGAACAGGCACATGAGTTCATGGGGACTGACTGGGCAGGGGTCTTGGTCACTGCTCAGCCTTCACCAAATGCTCCTGGGGTCCCTGGAAAGGATGGCTGGGTTGGGTGCACTGGCTATGATTGGCCAGAGCTTCCTGGCAGAGCCCCATCCACACTGAGCCCTCCTACTTGTGGGGCTCCCACTTAGAGAATTTTAGCGAGTGACACTGTTCTGTATGACTTACAAGTACCTACTAATTTAATCCACACTGCAAACCTATTGATAAAGGATAACCTTTATGCCCATTTAAAGATGAAGAAACTGAGACATGAAAATGTCAAGTAACTTGCCCAGGGCACTCGGCCTGAGAGTGGGAGAGCCAGCAATCAACCATGGGCAACCCGAGTCCAGGGCCTGAGCTTTATCTCCCTGCCACAGCCTCTAGGGACAGCTGACCTCCAGTAGCATTTAGATTAAGATGCTTCCTCCGTGGCTGGGACCAGGCACCAGGGACCACGATGGAGATAGCGATGTCTAAATACGCATCTCACCTCATCCCCTACCGTCTGTTTTGCAGAAAAAAACATAGTAAGCGCTGCATCTGCAAAGATGCATAATCACACTTGTGTAATGATGCATAATTATCTCCTGTCACTCAAGAAGGTAGGAAAACCCTTTTAAAAAATCTGAACGTAAATCTGTGTTAATCCTTTAATTTTTATTTTTTTTTCTTGTGCTTTGATATCTTGGGTCCCAGGGTTCGCTCACTCCTCGGAGAGAGGAAGCTGCAGGAGAAAAGTGTGAAGCTGGCAGAGGTCGGTTCATGAGATTTGAGGGAGAAAGCCATCTCCACAACATAAACGTACGGGGGAAGCTGGTCCAGGCTCGTAAGTAGGAAAGACAGAATTAAGATCTAGGCCCACTCCACTCCCACACTTGTTGTTCAACATTTCCCAAGATTATCCAAACCTCAGACGCTGCTGACGGGGCGGCAGGGAGGAGCGCTTAAGGGGTTAACAGGCCAGGCCCTTCCTGATATGAGGGCTCAGAGCTCTGCCCACAGCAGGGAGCTGTCCTGGCGGGACCCCAGTCCAGCTCGCAGCGCTGCTGCAAGGCGGCCTCCAGGTGGCGCCGTGAGCCCGTGGTTCCCCAGAGGCTCCTCTGTTTCTGGTTGGCCCCGGGTCCCGCAGCACAGCCCTCTGTGGGGCAGAGCCGCCATGGCTCACTGACCTTCCAGCTTCCCAACTCGCTCACAAAGAGACTTAACAATGAAACTGGAAACGAGAACCAAGAAAAGGGAAACCAACACTCTCTTGGTTACTCTCTGCCCAAGGTCCTTGCTTTTCCTAAAATCACTTTTTTAGCCGAGAGAGGAGGCCTCAGGCGTGGCAAAGGCCTTAGAAGTACCTCATATTAACTTCCAGTTTTTAAAAGCATGCACTGTTTTTCATAAAATACTTATGAAACAGAACGCTCAGGGAACGTGGAGAAGAAGACGGAGAAACACGGACTGTGGGAAAGACGGGCCATGTGAAGGCACGTGAGCTGCCTCCCGGAACTCGGTGACTTCACACAGGACCAGGGAGTGAGGAGGAGGGGGTTCCTACCCCACCCCAGCTCTGAACACTCTTAGAGACCGGAAATAACCCCAGAGCCCGTGACAGCCCGGGTCCCTCACACACGAGCAGAAGGAGAAATGACACTGAACACGTCTGGAATCCAGCTGCCCCCACAAAAGCCACCAGGACTGGGGTAGAGACACAGGAAGATCTGGGGATAGGAAGCCATCGGTGTAAAGATCTAGAATTTTGCATTTTCCACGTGATTTAAATACGCTGGAAATCCAGGGAGCAGCTGAAGGAGGCGGTGAAATGGCATAACTCAGGCGCACCTCCCGCCAGGACATGTGGAATGACTGGGGGCACTGGAATGCACGTGCCCTGGCCATGACATGAGCTAAGGGGGGAAGGATGGAAGAGTTTGCAAAGCTTCCCTGGGGATTTGGAAACACCTTGCTCAACACACAAAAGTGCAACTTGGAAGACACAGGGGGTGAGTAGAATGTGAGCCCCACCCACATTCCCTTGGCTAAATCCCTGGAAAAAGGGCCTGTCAATAAGCAGGTAGCTGAGAGCAGGGCCAGGGCCACCCACACGCCCCACCCCATCATCCACATGCCCCATCATCCACACGCCCCATCATCCACACACACCCCCATCCACACGCCCGATCATCCACAGGCCTAGTCATACACACACCCGGTGCAGGACACTCTTGCTTGGCCCACCAGTCAGAAACTGGCTGCTAAACTTTAAAATAAAAACATAACAGGTTCATCTAAAAGATCGAATGCAGTGTCACAGTTAAGACACAGGATAATGTGGAATAGAAATGATGGGACACTTCTGCCAAGCACATGGCAGACGTGAAGGCAACCTTTGAAAGTATCCAGTGAGAAAGGATGCGCTAAGACTACCACCATGAAAACAGCAACTCAGACTGTGAGATGTTTTTTAACAGAGACCATTCAAAAACATCATCTCTCTGAGCCACTGCCGGTGAAGGTGGAAAATGCCCAAAGCAATCCGGTAACATCGGCAGCCTTGTAAATGTGTACCGGGTCAACGACAGGCCCACCCATCGATCCTGCTATTACACTCATGCATGTGCGGAAACGGGCAGCACCGATGTTCATTACAGACTTGGTGGCAATTTCAAAGCACCGACACTCAGGAAGGCTAATGAGCGGTACAACATCCAACTAAGGAAACTGCTCAGTGACGAAGCCAGCTCCCGGGAACTGATATGAAGAGCAAAGACCATTCCCACGGAAGACCAGGTTTCCCAAACAATGCACAAAGCATGACATCAATGTACATAAACATCAATGTGTGTGTGTGTGTGTGGTGTGTGTGTGTGTGTGTGTGTGTGTGTGGTATGTGTGGTGTGTGTGTGGTATGTGTGTGTGGTGTGTGGTGTGTGGTGTGTGGTGTGTGGTGTGTGGTGTGTGGTGTGTGTGGTGTGTGTGGTGTGTGTGTGGGGTGTGTGTGTGTGGTGTTTGTGTGTGTGTGTGTGTGTGTGTGTGTGGTGTGTGTGTGTGTGGTATGTGTGGTGTGTATGGTATGTGTGTGTGGTGTGTGGTGTGTGTGTGTGTGTGTGTGTGTGGTGTGTGTGGTATGTGTGGTGTGTATGGTATGTGTGTGTGGTGTGTGGTGTGTGTGTGTGGTGTGTGTGTGGTGTGTGTAGTGTGTGTGTGGTGTGTGTGTGTGGTGTGTGTGTGTGGTGTGTATGTGTGTGTGTGTGTGTGTGTGTGTGGTGTGTATGTGTGTGTGTTCAAGCCCTTGCAGTTATCAAATCACGCCTGATGACTGACAATCACTAGAGCCCAATCCTCAGTGTTGTCACTGATGACTGAGGGCACGCTGCCAGCTTCACCCCTGCAGGCCTGGAGCTCAGTCAGCCGAGGCCACACGGAGCCACGCTGGGGCAAACGCAGAGTGAGGCAGATTCGCACTCGGCTCAGGCTGTGTTCTGATTTGCAAGGTGGAAAAGAGACAGATCTTGGAGACGACTTGTTAGTATTCGCAGCAAGACAAAACTTTTAGGAAAATGTCTCTTACATCGATTTCCTTGTGCTGGAATTTCAGGAGACTTGAAATGATGGGTGTGAGCAACCCAATCTCTAACCCAATGAGTCCATCTGTCCCCCTCCACCACCTCCCCAGCACATCCCCCCTCCATTCCAGAGGGAGCCCTAGCGCCTCATGAAGCCTGAATGAGGTCGCGAGGCCCTGGCCCACGGCGTGCGGTCACACTTAATCAGAGCTGGATAAACACGCTCTGCTCCGTATTAGTCACACTTGTGCAAGTTACTCCACGTCGCTGCAGCCAGCAGGGATTTGCACGTGATCCTGCTTAAACCAGCAAAACATCTGGAAAATGTGAAAATGACTCTCAGGCGCAAGTGGACCACACGCTGGGAGGGCCGCGGGCTGCGGCGGAGGCCGCCCGTGGAGGCGGGACGGGCCCCGGGGGGCGGGCGCACTTACGATGAAGCCGAGTTTCTTGTAGTCGCGCGTGTACATGGACTTGCGCTTCTCCATGCTGCCGCTGCCGGCGTTGGGCTCCGGCTCCGCGTCAAAGGCGATTCTTCGAAGTTCGAAGATGATGTCCCTCTGGGCCTGTGCGGTGTGGGGAGAGAGGAGGACAGCGCTGCTGTCACTGTGGGCATGACGTCCGCGGCCGTTCCCTGGGCCCACAATCACCGCGTCCAGGAGCGACGGGGCAGACAGACTGGGGCGCTGTGAGTGGGGGCTCTGCACCCCTCCCCGCCCGCCCCTCGCTGCGGGCCGCCCCGGCTCTGCCATCTGCTCCCGGCCACGGCCACGTCCCCGGGAGAATCTCTCCAGCGTCTGGAGTTCTTAAAGGAGCCCCCAGCATGAGGGGCGGTGTGGCTGGAGGAAGCCAGTTCGAGAAGGCAGGGGCGATGTGCTGACAGAAGCGCCGTGAGGGGCACACAGCGGTTGTGGACAGCATCCCGGCGGTGAGGGTCCCTGCCTCCACTCGGCAGCGCCTCTGCAGAAAGAAACACTCGGAAATGGGGAAGCGGCTCAGTGTTGACCTGTGAGCCAGGAGGCCACAGTTTGGTTCCCGGTCAGCGCACAGGCCTGGGCTGCGGGCTTGATCCCCGGTGTGGGGCGTGGAGGAGGGAGCCGATCTGCGATTCTCTCTCATCATGATGTTTCTATCTCTCTTTCCCTCTCCCTTTTTCTCTGAAATCATTAAAAATATGTGTTTTTTTTTCTAATAAAATGGTAGGTTTTATGTGTATTTTACCATAATAAAAAGATTTTAAATAAATCAAAGGCAGGGTTTCTGAACAGGGAGGCTGTTGGCATCCACACGCCTGGCCCCCTTCACCAGAAGTGGTGAGTGACAGTCCCCCCTGCCGAGAGGACGCCCCAGCCTCCCCATCCCGCTCAGGCGCATGGCCCCGTGCCACGCAGGCAGCCAGGGCGGCCGCACACGCCCATGTGCAGGCACATCTGCGGCCCATCAGGCCCTCCCAGGCCGAGGCGGAGAGCTCCTCTCCATAGCCCCTGAGGCCACAAATGTGTGCCGGCGGCCTCCCAGCTGCTCCCGGACTCTGCCGCCCACCCGCCCTGACGTCCCAGGCCCTGGAGGGCCTCTGTGCACACCAGCCAGAGGCAGGGAGAACGGCAGTGAGGAGCCCTCCTCACCCAGGCGACCCAGAAAGCGGGGTGGCCTGGCCCCCAGCTCCAGGCTGAGCCCTGAGAATGGAAACCACTTCCTCCACCTGAGGCTCAGGCCACGCAGAGCCCTGAGGCCTGTTGTCTGGGAACATAACCGAGGCCACTGCATGGAGGGTACCAGGGCCAAGGGCCTGGCCAGTGGCCACGGGATGTCAAGCTGGCTGATGGAAGAAAGGAAGAACACGCATGGATCTGATGCATAATGAAATAAGCCGTTCATTGTGTTCCCATCCTAGATTCACCTAAAATTTAAATCCAGTCCCCCAAGTTCTGAGATGGTAATAAGTCAATCATATCACTGCTAAAATCTCCTGGTTTCGGAGCAGCCCAAGACACGTTCTCACCTCCAAGAGCCTTCGCCGCTGGGCAGTGAGCACTCACCTGGTCCTGGGGGTCCATCTTGGTCATCATCCTGTCCTCCAGGAGGTTAAAGGTCAGCACCTGCAGCACGTACAGCTGGTGTGCCATCTCGTTGTTGATGGCCCGCTGGGCCCGGATGACATGCTGGGGAGACGGAGGCAAACGGGTCTTTGAAACATGGGGCTACGGTCATTCCACCCGCCCCGCCCCTGGCACCAAGGCGATGCCAACCACAGGCTGAGACCTCCATCCCTCACTGCTAGCTCTCTATCCTATCCCCCCCCACCGCCACCCCCGCACAAACACCCTCACTGAGCTAGGCCTTCCACAGTACTGAGAGCCGGTGCAAACACAGCCATATCAGGAAACCTCTGCCACTGCCACTAGGCCACCCTGGGGCCTGGCATCTGCTCTCCAGCCCCACCAACGCCCAGTGCGGATTCCGCTCCCGGGAGGAGAAGTGTGTCTCCCTCAAGGACTGGTTCCTCTGTGGTCAAACAATGAAAATTACTCTCATATGTTCCTCTCTGTCCTAGACAGCCAGGATGTTCAAAACCAAACCGATGACAAACGGCACTTACTGCTCTGGGCTTTGGGTCCCAGAACATTTATTTTGTTTGCCCCAGTAAGGTTTCTAATTGTTAATGGCCGCACTGTATTGGAATAGGCGTGTGTGTGTGTGTGTGTGTGTGTGTGTATGTGTGTATGTGTCTCTGTGTGTCTGTGTGTGAGTGTGTGTATGTGTGTATGTGTGTGTCTGTGTGTGTGTCTGTGTGTGTGTCTGTGTGTGTGTATGTCTGTGTGTATGTGTGTATGTGTGTGAGTGTGTCTATGTGTGTGTGTATGTGTGTATGTGTGTGTGTGTCTCTGTGTGTGTGTGTGTGTGTGTGTGTGTGTGTGTGTGTGTGTGTGTGTGAGTGTGTGAGCGCCGGGGTGGCTGGGCTCACAGAACTCCTGCTGGAATCACCCACACACGCTTCGCCCAGCCTCTAGCTAAAGTCAAGCAGCGGATAGGCCTCAGGAGAGCGCACTATCTGCGTTATTGTCAGACGGGCACAGGCTGCCCCGCACAGCCTCTCCCACCGAGGTTCCGGTCATGCTCGCACACGGTGGTCTCCCTGAGGCCTCTCTGTCTTTCTCCATAAGGAGGCCCAGGGAAGTGACGGCAAAACCTCGGGGTCTAATGTGTTTATTTCCAGCTAGCTCCCTCATTAGGAACAGTATACGCTCAAACTCCTAAACCTTTAAAAAAAAAAAAAAAAAGTTTTTATTGACTTCAGAGAGAGAGAGAGAGTGAAAGAGAGAGGGAGGGAGAGAAGCATTAATGATGAGAGAGAATCATTAATTGCCTGACTCCTCACACACACACTGGGGATGGAGCCCGCAAGCCAGGTGTGTGCCCTGACCAGGAATTAAAATGTGGCCTCCTGGTTCATGGGTCAGTGCTTAACCACTGAGCCACCCTGGCCAGGCTCATAAACCTTTTAAGTCACAGAACCTCTGAGTTTCTTAAATCTAAGTTTTAGGAAAGCTAACGCCATGGTGAGTGTAATAAACCTGCCCCCTGAGAGGTCCCGGCGCTTCCTGCCAGAATGTTCTTCTCTCTAAAGCATTTTATTTCAGTTGTTACCAGGCTAGGAAGCAATGCCCAGGAGCTCACTCACTGCACTGGGCTGACAGTGGGTCTCCCTAGAGCCCTCACAGTGAATTAACCGCAGGTCTGGTAGCGACTCTGCCTGTGTGTGTTGCTTCTGGAATTTTCCCCCATCAGAAGCGGGATCACCTGTCAGCGGCAGGAGTCGAGCCACACTGGCAAACACACTTACAGTATGTGCACCGTCTACTCCCCCCTGCATGCAGGGACGCTCTGTGGTGGCATCCTCTGCTCTCCACATGGTCCTCTCATCTCAGGGACACCCGCCCGCCTTGGTTATAGGGCCAAGTCGCCAGGGCATGTCCGGGGTTTCCTTTGCCCCCCTGCACACAGAGATCCCTCCCTCCACCCAGAGAGGCCATTCCTGTGGGAAACCTTGCTCATTCCACTTCCATAAGCAACACATTGCCTGTGTTTGGCTGTGGGTCCCGCCTCTCAACCACCATTGGGTGAGGGAAGTAGTTGGCCCCGCCTCTCAAACACCATTGGGTGAGGTTGGAAGTGGGTCCCAACCTCGAACCCCATTGGTTGAGGTTGGAACTGTGTCCTGCCCCTCAACAACCATTGGGTGAGGTTGGAAGTGAGTCCCGCCCCTTAACTACCATTGGGTGAGGTTGGAAGTGGGACTGGCCCCTCAAAAACCACTGGGTGAGGTTGGCAATGGGACCCTCCACTCAACAACCATTGGGTGAGGTTCAAAGTGGGTCCCACCCCCAAACAACCATTGGGTGAGGTTGGAATTAGGTCCACAAGGCAGGACACAAATTAACTACAGAAATACAGATCTCTCTGAACAACACCCACCTTTAGGCCCAGCCCTTTAGACTAGTCCCGCCTCCTCCTCACTGCTCATGCCCAATCTACCCTCAAAGACAGGGGCAATTGTATCATCCCAAAGCACTCTTCCTCTTCCACATGCCTTCCTCCCCCTCCAAGGAGGCACTATGTGTCCCTCCCCCAATGCTCAGACTGTGGAAAGGGAATTACAGCCAGTGTACAGTACAGACCCTGGCAGACACCCCAGGGTCCTGGAGACCAAGGCCAACATCACCAGGAATCCACAGATAAATCGTGTTGGTGTCATGTGCCCTGACTCTGTGCAATGAGCATGCTCCACACACACCTGCTTGTGGGCTCTTCCTCAAACCCCAGTCTATTATGAAGAAAACATCAGAGAATCCCAGAGGAATCCTTCCAAACACAGGACCAGCACGGTGCAGCCACACCCGGCCCAGGGCGGCCCTGAGAGGGGGCGGCTAAAAGCTTGGAAAAGACAGACAAGACAATGAAAGCTGGGTCTCGGTGGCATGCTGCTTCCTGAGAGACAGCCCTCAAGCCCACAAGCCAAGTCTTTATTTTGTAGCAGATGCCACGAGGCAAAGTAAGGACTTGATCAAGATGTCTACAGCATTCTCAAGGGTTTTGATCCTACTCCATTGCATGCACCTGATCAAACTTTGTTTACTTGCAGCTTATATCACTCAGGCACGTGGGACCACGTGTTCAGACCATGTGTTCAAGATTACAACTCTAGCTGTTGGCTATCTATATGTGCTGGGAGGCTCTGCCCTCCAAGCTGGGACTTGCACGTGGCCCTGAGAAGACTGGGTCCTCTCATTAGTCCTGGTCTTGAACCTGTCCAAATGCTGTAGCCCCTCTCCACACAGCACCCTCCAAACTCATCAAGGTCATTAAAAACAAGGACGACTGAGAGACAATGCACAGAGGGGGCTGAAAGCTGTGCGGGGTTCTGGGTAGATCCTCCAACAGAAAAGGGCTATTAGTGAAAGACTAGGGAAACACAAGTCTATAGTCCAGTTCAAGCACGGCACCTGGGTTCACTTGTTAGCTGGAAACAGGAGAGACTAGCTATGCAGACCTGTGCACAGGAACCCTATACTCACTATGCAATTGTGGGGTAAATCTAGAATCATTCCAAAATAAAAAAGTTTCATTTTTAAATAGGTAATTAACAGCTCTGGCCAATTATGTTCAGTGGTAAGAGCATCAGCCCAAAGACTGGTTTGTGGGTCCCGCCTCTCAAACACCATTGGGTGAAGTTGTAATTGGTTCCCACCCCTCACCAAATATTGGGTGAGGTTGCAAGTCAGTCCCGCCCCTCAACAACCATTGGGTGATGTTGGAAGTGGGACCAACACCTCAACAGCCATTGGGTGAGGTTGGAATTGGGACCAACACCTCAATAGCCATTGAGTGAGGTTCAAAGTGGGTCCCGCCCCTCAACAACCATTGGGTGATGTTGGAAGTGGGACCCAAACCTCAACAGCCATTGGGTGAGGATCAAAGTGGATCCTGCCCCTCAACCACCACTGGGTGATGTTGGAAGTGGGACCCAAACTTCAACAGCCATTGGGTGAGGTTCAAAGTGGGTCCCACCTCTCAGCAACCATTGGGTGAAGGTGGAAGTTGGTCCCTCCCCTCAACTACCATTGTTTGAGGTTGGAAGTGGGACCTGCCTATCAAGACCCATTGCATGAGGTTCAAAATGGGTCCTACTGTTTCCCCACAGAAGTGAGTCCCAGAACCAGCCACGACTAAAACCCCTGGACGAGACACACCATGCACCAGCCCCCTCCCCGGCCCAGCCCATGGCCCAGCACTCACCGTGAGGATGATGGAGCGCAGCTGCTTCTGTGCCAGGATGTTGGCCATCTCCTGTGGACGGAAGGCACCCCATGAGAGCCGAGGTTAGAAAGGTCCACTCCGAAATGACTAGCCCCGGGGAGCCTCCTAACGGGGCGTCAGCAGTATTTCTTGGGGACGCACAGAGGCAGGGGGTTCAGGTGACTTTTTGAATGTTCTGTTTGGCAAACAAGGCCATGTCCACAGAAAAGAAAGGAGCCCTGGTGCCTGCCATCTTTTCTCCCTTTTAAGGCATGTCTTCCTCCCGGGACAAGGTGGGTGCCAGGTGCACCCTGAGCTCTCCAAGGAAAGAAGGTCCCCTTGGGAGGGGCTCACTGCTCCTGTCTCCTCTGCACGTGACTCAGTGACGGGCCTCACCACGAGCTTCAGCGGTAGAGAAGCATCGCTTTAAAGATCCAGGTCTCCCTTTCCTCTCGGCCTGTGCAAAACCAGGGAGCGATCGGTCCGCACCCCGGCACTCAAAAGCAGTCTGTGCGAGGGAATGGGTGGCCGGCCCGGCCTCGGCCAGACACCTGGGCAGATGCTTGGCCATGGAGCCCACACTGGGCACTGCCAGCCCGCTCTGCTGGTCACGCTGAGGGCCCCGGCTGCCCGGCTGGCACACGGGCCTGCGGTGACTGTAGGAGACGGAAGGAGTCCCGGGTGCCCTTTCTTGATATTGACACGTGGGCACTCGGGAGAGTTAACAGTTGGACGCAATCTTGTTGCCAACATTCAAAAATGGAAATACTGCTGGCATTCAGGAAGGCGCTGGGGGGTGGGGTTTTGGGAGGATGGAGTTTTTAGTGTTGCTACTCTTGCCAAGTAGAGAAGAACCTCAACCAGGATTCAAAAGCACAGCCACGAAGTCCAGGTTAAAAAAATAAAAATAAAATTAAAAAACTTGCAGGAAGCGGGGAGAAGGCAGGGTGTGGGGTGGGGGTCAGGACGGGGCTCAGGCGGGGTGCGCGGGATGGAAGGAAAGCTCGGGGCTGGCTTGGTGCTGAGCGGCGCTGGGGACTTACAGTCAGAGGACACTCAAGGATGTCCACACTGCTGTCCACACCAGCCTGGCAGCCAGGGCCGCCACGGAAGGAGAGCAGGCGGGAGAGAGGAGGCGGAGAGTCAGAGACACCGAGAGGCGCAGCGTGGTTAGTGCCCGAGACCCGCTGCTCGGCGAGGATGGCATGGAAGTACTGCCAGGGCATGGAAGGGCTAGAGGTCATGGAAGTCGAAAACTAGCTAAGTCCTCTTCCCACTCTTCCAACCGCAAACCAATGCACCCGCACCTCTGAGCCACTCCCGCACCGGGCCAACCAGCCCCGAGAGGAGGAAATCCTACATGGAAAACGAATCCGGAACCTTCATCTTTAGTCGCTGGCCTCACAAACCGGACAGTGAAAAAAGCGCATTTAAAAAATACAATTCTTGACCCCGTGGCTAGTAGCGTGCTAGCTTTCTAAACTCATCTGAGCCAACGCTTTGGTAGCCGTCCTAGAGTTCCCAGCGCACTTTCTGATGGAAAGATCTCACATTTCCACCAGTGTTTCCGCAGACTGGTGCCGGAGGTAACCGGTGTGTTACATTGATGTGAGAAACATGACTGCGTTCTGAGGTGTGAGCTAGATCTCAAGACAAAAACTACTCCCTTCACACCCCTCTTGAACGATGCTTTCCTCAGTTGAAGAAAGACCCGGGATCGACAGAAAAAGGAGGGTCTCGGAGGGCAGGTGTCCCATGGCACACCCAGGGAGCAGGAGGAGGAACCGCCCGCCCTCCCAGCCACGTCCACGCGCGGACAGCAAAGAGCCCCTCGGAGACCTGAGTGGTGGTTCGACCCGTGGCACAGCCTGTGTGTTCTGTCTCCCGTCCACCCTGTGGGCCCTGGGGCAGAGCTGACATCTCTTAGGATCTCAGTTTCCTCATCAGAAAAGTGGGCACGACGCCCTCCTTGCCCTGATGAGCAGTCAGCGACATGCCAAGGTCACAGGGCTTCCTCCCCGGCTCCCACGGCGGCCGCAGGGCTGCCATGGGTTTGTCTGGGGGGTGTCTACACTGGCTTTGTTTGACGAATTGCTCTGCCGTGGGGACATTCCTAGCCTTGTCCCTCAGACAGGGCCTGCGCGTGCCCCCTTGGGCCCCTGGGTTTGGGAAGGGTGCCAGGCTGGCCAGCCAGGCCACAGAGCAGCAGGAGGCCCAGGGAGGGCCCGGGGTGGGCGGGGGAGGCTCTGTCTCTGCATCAGCAGTTGCCATCCCTGGGCACGGTCTTCAGACAAAGAAATGCCACGTACCTGCCTCCTATCGTCGGGCGCCTTCAGGAACAGGGCGTTGATCACGGCGATGGTGTAGGTCTGGATCTCCTGGTCTGTGCTGGGAGATGCAGACAACACGAAAAGTCAAGGAGATGTGCCTGCGTCAGAGCATGGTCAAGTTTATGGCCCCCTCCCCCAGAGAGGGGAGAGAGAAAGGCAGGCCCAGAAACACAGGGGCACTGGGAACGTACTTCCATCTCCACGAGGCTGGAAACAGTGGTGAGGGGGCAGTTACGGCTCGAGAGCCGCAGTTTGCTGACCACTGCATAGCCCATCAGACACACACTGTGAGGGGAGACCACCCGGAGAGCACAGGCGGCCAGCCGGCCTCTCCCTCCTCCTCTGCTGGGAGGAAAGCGCGCACTCAGCCCAGCTGGCACCTGTGAACCAGGAGGTCATGGTTTGATCCCCGGTCAGGGCACAGGCCTGGGTTGTGGGTTCCATCCCGTGTGGGGCCTGCAGGAGGCAGCTGATCAGTGATTCTCTCTCATCATTGATGTTTCTATCTCTCTCTTCCTCTCCCCTCCTCTCTAAAATCATTAAAAATATATTTTTTAAAAAAGAAAAGTGAACTCAGTGGACATAACCCATGTGTGTGTGTATATCTGTGTGTGTGTGTGTGTGTGTTATGTGTGTGTGTGTGAGTGTATCTGTGTGTGTGTGTGTGTGTGTTTTCTATCTGATGCATGAAGTACATCTGGGAGGAGACTTGGCTGTCCCCAAGTCCTAGGCTTATTATAATGGAAACGGCTTTGTCTCCTTGGCAATGACATTACATATTCTAAACATCTACTTCCAAAAAGAAACTTTCTAATGACAAGAAGGTCAGGTTTTATGTTTACACATTGGCTTTGCACTGGGATGAAATCAGAAATTGCAAATGGAGTGCAGACCTAATGGGAGCCCCCTGGGAAACAGTGAGGAAGGAAGGAGAGCTCAGGCGCAAACGGGGCAGCTCTGAGCTACTCGCGCAGACCATTTTGAGAGGGGGCCCTGGGAACAGGCCTTGGGCAGGATGAAGGTCAGGCCCTGGGCACCCGCCTGGCTGGGTGGCGTTGGACGAGTTCCTGGCGTGTCCCTAAGACACGGTTCCCGCATCTCAGCTCCGGGGAGGGAAGCAACACTGACCCCAGAGGCCGCTTTCGGAATAAAGTGAGGGGATGTGCATACGACCCTCAGCACAGCGCGTGGCAAGCAAAGAACTCGCCGCTGAGAGGAAGTGAACTGTGGACGCCCAAATGTGCCCTCCAGGTTCAGAGAAAAGAGAAAAGACAAGACTCTGCACGCGCGGGGGACTGTGAAGCGCCCTAGAGAGGATGCACGCAAAAGCGCCCTTTTAGAGCACGTGCTAGTTTTCCCCGAGGCCACAATCTATTCTCTCTCATCGCTGATGTTCCTCTCCCTTCCTCACTGAAATCAATAAAAACAGGTTTTTTTTTAAAAAAGTAAAACTGTGGCTATCTTCTAACACTGATCAAAACTGCGTGCCTCCTGGGGGCCAGGCACTGCGGCCAGCACTGAGCCAAGAATGGGCACGGCGCTCACCAAGGGGCAAGCACCTGCCATTGCAGTGCCACGGGGCCCAGCGGCAGACACGTGTCCCGAGCATTCCATGCTGCGCCTCTCCCTGCCCAGGGGCCTCGGCACACTTACCCTTGCAGATGGGGGATGAGCTGGCCGATGGTGATCTCCTGCGCCACCTTCTGGTAGAGGTCGTGGCTGTTGAGCACCATGGACTCCAAGATGGCCAAGGACCGCTGCAGAATGGAGGTGTCCATGCCGGACTTGTTCACGAAGCTCGCGATCTGAAAACCCAAGCGGGACACAGGTGACCGCATGCGGTCAGCAGGGCAGAGAAGGACAGAGGGGAGCGAGTGCGGGGAATCCTGAGCTCCGACAGGAAACACCGGACCCCGGGGGTAAAAAGTAGCCGCAGGGACAGCGGGACAGCAAGGGGCCCACGGAGTCAGCAAGGATGCTTGATGGCATTACACAAAGCGCCATGCACACCCCATTCCTGCAATTCCCATTGTAAGCACCTTTTTCAGGGGGACAGCTTCAAAGAATGATTCTGTCTAGTTTTCCAGGATTTATCTGAGTTTTAGCTTTTGGAGCAAATGATTTCAACACATACAACAGTCTCTACGTATGCAAGGGGTACTGGTTCTGGGACGCCCTCGGATAAAACCCGTGGACTCTCAGTCCTCTGTGTGTAATGGAGCAGTATGACATGGAACGGTGTTTGCCCACGGGCCTCAGCAGGCTCTGCCTGCACGCCCCTGCAGCTGAGGGCATTCAGCACAGGCCTGGTGCAATATATGCTTTTCACAACTTTCTGGAATTTCTTCCCCCGGATATTTTCTATCTGCGGCTGGCTGAATCCCTGAATGTGAATCCCATTCATACGGAAGACCGACTGCGCAGGGTGAGGCGCCTGTGTTTCTCTGAGACAGTAATTTCCACACATGCAGCCATTTCTCTCCCTCCCCAGGCCACTCCATTAAGCACAAATCACACTTGTCGACACAATTCAACTGGCAACTTCTCCGTTGCCGGCTGCCGGCCTGCAGCCCCTCCGCGGAGCACGCATCCCCCGCGCTCTCGCTTATGTGGTTAAAACAAACTCTCCTCTTCTCCCCAAAGGTTAGCAAACAGGAAGGCCTTCAAGGTAGCGGTGTGAAAAGTCAGCATCACAGCTGAAGCTCTGAGATGCATCCCCTAAGGAGTTTATCGCTCAGGCCTCCAACGTAAATCACACCATCGGGGAGACACCAAGTGAGGGTTAGCATAGTGGGCCGCGTGCAGGCTTTATCTCAGAGGCCTCTTCACAAGTTATTCCTGGCTGGTGACAACCCACAACCAGGGCTGTTATCACAGCAGCATAATGGCCGCTCTCCTAACAGCTGCATGCTGTGTCCTGTGACGGACGGGAGCCTGCTGTTTCCCCATGGACACTAATGTCCCCCTCCACGCCGCCCGCGACCGCTGCTTCGCATCCAGCCCCACACCAGGCAGAAGGCAGGCGTCCCGGCAGTGGCTGCGACCATCCAGCTGTCTCCAGCCCAGCGACTCCCTGGTGAAAGCAGGGGTACCAGTACCGACACCCCCTCCCCCTTTCCCCACGTATGTCTGGATCTCAGAGGGTGTGAAATAAATGACGCAAAATACAGTAACATTACAACTTTATATTCCAAACGCCGTTATTTTATAATATAAAGTGCAGGAAAGAATATGAGACATTTAAGATGCTCAAAAGGACTCCGCTGGCCCATCGCCGACTACTTTCGCCCATTTCACGGCCAATAAACCTCTCCAGACGTGTTTACTGGCCCTGGAAGCCCGCCTTCCTCCTCGGTCTGCTCCCCTGGACCACCTCTGGCTGCCAACACTGACTTCTTTCCCAGGCGCCTTCCTCTGAGGAAAGCCCCCTCCCTCTCTGTGCTCAGGCTAACCCCTCTCTCAGACCTCTTCCAAGCAGGAGAAAAAAGCCGCCCTCTCCCTCCCCTATTCCCCCATCCCCCCTTTCTCACTCCCCCAGCTCATCGGGTGCCTGTGGGCAATGGAAGCACTCCCAGAGCCAGCCGCTCCTGGCCTCCGCACTCCTCTCCTCCCCCCATTCCCCTTTTCTCATCTCATAAAGCTGCATGTCTCTCTAGGGCTCCCCGGAGAATTTCCCACCTGAGAGCCTCCTGTCCGGCTCCCGCCCCACCGCCAGCCTCCACCCTCCCTCCACTCATCAGTCACAGGCATTCCCTGTGGCCACCAAACAGGCTTACGCTGCCCTGAGATCTGAGAAGAGAGAGGAGCAAAACCCACGTGATTGCTAATTTCAAGAACCTTATAGTCTAGCAGAGATTTTGCCTTTAAATATATATATTTAAATATATATATATTGATTTCAGAAAGAAGGGAGAGGGAGAGATAGAAACATCAAGGATGAGAGTCGTTGACTGGCTGCCTCCTGCACTCCCCCTAGAGGGAATCAAGCCTGCAACCCGGGCATGGGCCTGACTGGGAATTGAACCCTGACATCCAGTTCCTAGGTCGGTGCTCAGTCATATATAGCCACACCATCGGGCTCTTCGCCTTGAACGTTTCTGAAGCTCCATCACTGTACTCCTGGCCCACTTCGGCGACAAAGTGTGACCCAGTCAAAGCACAGCTTCCAGAAAGTAGGACTGCAGGGAGAGGAAGCAGAGGTCGGGGGGCAGCAGTAATTACACACTCTGCTTCCACTCAGTGGAAAGGTTACCCCAACACAACAGAGAACACCTGGGTGGCTTCAGAGCTAAGGGCCATCGCAGTGCGTGAGTCAGGGACCCAGATGATGAAAGTCACGTAACCCCCTCCAAGCGGCTCCGGACGAGGTCTGTTCTCCTCTGCGCCCACAACGGCAGCGCACGCTGGGCGCCCGGGCTCCTGGCGGAGCTGGAAGCCCCCGGCAGAGGCCTGTAAACCTCGCACATTTCTAAGAGGCAACAGGACTGGGTGCGTGTCCGGCGCTGGCAGCTGGGCGGGGGGACCGGCCTCCTGCAGAGCCGGGCCCAGGGCTCCGTGTGCGGCTCTCCTGCCAAGAAAGGGCCCCGGTGCTGTGTTTGGCGAGGAGAGAACCAACTTGTACTTCAGAAAAGTTCTGGGGGCCTGGGGAGTTTTTATTTCCATTTCTTTTTTCTCCAGGCCTTCCTGTCCTCTCCTTAAGTAGCCAGGTCTTTGAAACAACTACATGGCCTGGCCAGTGTGCTCAGAGGGTGGGGCGCCGTCCCGGGCACCGAAAGGTTGCCAGTTCGAGTCCCAGTCAGGGACATGCCCGGGTGGTTATGGTAGGGGGTGTGCAGGAGGACGCTCACTTTCACATTGATTCTCTCTCTCCTCTCTCTCTCTCTCTCCCCCTTCCTCTATCTCTAAAATCAATTATAAAAATATTTTTTTAAATTATTACATACTGACATACTGGCATAAAAAAATACATTACAGACTGGCATAAAAAAATTCCGAGTTTCACAGTTTATGAAATGATGTTGCTTATTGCAAACAAAGTTGGTAACTAGAATCTAAGTCCACAACCAAGAGATGAAGCCGTGAGCAGGAGACGGGGCTGGCAGGGGCGGCATGAATTTGGCATTAATGGGGAGCCAAGTCTGTGCCGCAGAGATAAGCGTCTTTTGTCACCAGATTTTTGTCCAGATAAAGCTCCATTTAAAAGACAGCTGTCTGCACACAACCTCTGGGTTGTCGGGGCGCTGACGCTGATCCAGCTACTGAATAAAAGAAGTTAACCTTACAAAAACGATCAATTATAAAGGCATTTTCTGATGACTGTTTTCAAATTCAATTTAGGGTTGAGATCCAAGTGGCAAGGCAAGGGAAGCAGAATGACGGGGAACGAGCACGAGGACTTGCTAAACGTACTGCCTTCTGAAAAATACCTTACTTCTTACTAAAGAGTCATCATTGGATTTAAGATGGCTTTTCGTTTAATTTCAGCAAGCGGAAACCAACCATTTTCTTAACACGTTAAGCACCTAGCCTGTTTTATCTTCCTTTCCGCTTCAGTCACTGACATGGCCCTTAGCGTGTTAAGCAGTCAGCAAATTAAAATGACTGTCATTCTCTCTAACCAGGTCTCATATCATTTAACACGCTAAGCGCCTTGTCCGTCCCAGTGACTGACACCAAACATCCCGTCCTTTCCTCCAGCCCCAATGCCGCCTGGCCTCGCTGTGACAGCGCTGCTCTGGGGGTTCCTGGGAGCCGTCTGTGTGCACCCACCATGCTGTCTTTCCGTCCCAGCAGGAGGAGGCCCTCCAGGGAAGGACAGAGTCCTGTTATTTCTGGGCAGGAGGCAGGAGGCGAGGACACCGTGGCCTGGGTTCCCCCGCCCCCCCCCCCCCCCCCCAATCTCACACTTGCCCTTGCTTCCCAGAAGGAAAAGAATGGCTTCTGAGGACTTCCTCCCGCTTGCTGAGCCCTCCCTTCCTCCCCGCACTCCCAGGTGGGTGCAGGGCTCCCTCCTGCTGTCCCCCCCGGGGATGTTGGGGTTGCCCTGTGCCAGCTCTGTGAATGGTCCCATTTCTGTGACTGGGGGCATTCGCCTGGCTCTCCCTGTGACTCCTGGGGAGGCGGACAGTGGCTTTCTCCTCGACTTGGTCCCCAGAGCCCGGCACAGACCTCCGTGTGTTTCTGTGAAACGACTGAATGACATCTGTTCGGAGCATTATCTTTCTTCCTGAGTGAATTTTTATTGACTTTAGAGAAAGAGGAAGGGAGAGGGAGAGAGAAATACCCACGTGAGAGGGAAACCCCAATCAGCTGCCTTCGGTAAGTGTTCGACACAAACGTTTAGCTCCTTCTGAATTAGTGTCAAACACCCACAAAACTCGGCATCTCCAGACGGAACTGGCTTCTCCAGACTTTGACCAGAGACAGAATTCGGAGTCTGTTCTCTGCTTCCATCATCACTCCCTGCTCCCCACCCCAACCCACCCCACCCCCAGGAAAGCCCCTCAGAAAAGCCAGAATGGCTTGGCTTTCTCACTGACGGCCACTCCTTTTTTTTCCCCCAATTTTGACAAGAACGGGCGAAAAGGGGGCCTCGCCCTTTGGGGTTATTTTCTAAGATGTTCCCATCGCTCGTCGTCATCTCTGGCTTTGTGCCCATGCGAAAGGCAAGAGGACTCTGGGGTCTGTCAAAAGTACGCTGGGCTCCCAACCTCTCTCGTCTGAAATAATCATACAGCACCGTGCAGCGGCCTCCAATCCCAGCCCCACGCCAACACACAGGGGCTCCGGGACGGCCCATTTCCAGGCAGCGTCTCCCTGGAGCTGTGGGTCAGCTTCACAAGGACAAGGAGTAACATCACAGGGGGCTCAGCAGATACCATCCCAGCCTCCGGTCAAGGTCAGCATTGCCGGTGAAGACATACAGACAGCACAGAGGAGGGCACATTACTGCTCTGGCATTCTTCCCACGAAGGCACAGCCTGCCCTGGACCATGAGGAGGGATCAAAGAAACCCAGATCGGAGGGCTTTCTACACTATAGCCCACCGGTACCATTCAAGGTGATCAAAGTCACAAGAGACCAGTGAGGAAGGGAGAAAGAGAGGGAGGGGGGGAAGGGAGGGAGGGAGGGAGGGAGGGAGGGAGGGAGGGAGGGAGGGAGAAACGGAGAGAGGGAGGGAGGGAGGGAGGGAGGGAGGGAGGGAGGGAGGGAGGGAGGGATAGATAGAGGGAGGGAGGGAGGGAGGGAGGGAGGGAGGGAGAAACGGAGAAAGGGAGGGAGGGAGGGAGGGAGGGAGAGATAGAGAGAGGGAGGGAGGGAGGGAGAAACGGAGAAAGGGAGGGAGGGAGGGAGGGAGGGAGGGAGGGAGGGAGGGAGGGAGAAAGGGAGAGAGGGATGGAAGGAGGGAGGGAGGGAAGGAGGGAGGGATGGAGGGAAGGAGGGAGGGAGGGAGGGAGAGAGGGAGGGAAGGAGGGAGGGAAGGAGGGAAGGGAGGGAGGGAGGGAGGGAGGGAAAGATTCAGGCCCAAGGAAGCACAGTGTGCCTTACCTTCTTGATGAACGCCACCGAGAACGTATCCCAGGACACGATCCCATGGTCCATCAGCTCCACAAAGGCCGTCAGCGTGAAGGACAGCATGTCTCCAAAGCTGGAAAACACAGGAGGCACATGGTCACGGGCCCGGACCCGAGCTTGAGGAGAGACACAGGAGTGACAAAGCCTTAGGGAACGGACACAGCAGAGCCGTGAGAGGTCACTGGGGTCGCAGCTGGGCCACAGAAAGCGGTGCAAGCCCGCGTCCAGGATGGATGCCAGGGCCTCCCAGGTTCCCCAGGAGCCGGGCACAGAGGGACTGACTGAGGCTCACGGTGACTCTGCCCTGGGGAGCTGCGCCTGCTGCCCGTAAGGCACTCCCCTCCGGGAGCCTGTCCGCTCCGCAGGGAGCTGAACAGTGACCCCATGTAACCACATGGCCTCGGGCCCTCCGAAGTGCCCGGGCTGAAGGAAAGCTTCCCCGCCACCGAGTTAGGGGGACTGTCCGTGGGTGTCCAACCGGGAAGGTGAGGACGATTCTCTTCCGAGTGTCAGCACCTGGCACAGGAGATGCGTGGCCTCCGTGTATCAGTGTGTGTGCCTGTGCCTGTGCCTGTGGTGTGTGTGTGTGTGTGTGTGTGTGTGTGTGTGTGTAGGTAAGCGCACACACAGACATGAGCTCACAGAGACAGCCGGTGTGTAGGAAGGACATTCTGTGTGACGTTGGCGGCATTTCTCTGCAGTGTCTGAGGAGGGGCTGCTGGCTGGCAGCAGGTTGCTGGGAGGAGGGCGGTGGGAAGGGTCTAAGGTGAGCACCAGGATTTCAGACAGAGAGGCAGCAAGCGCAGGGAAAGGCAGCTGTGCCCCCATCAGACAACCCCCTGATTTCCGGTGCCTTCAAAACAACACTTTCAGACACCTCACATCTTACAGACACTCAGCTCCACTGTGAGTGTGCATCATGATAAACCTGAGACCCTCAGAGATCATTGCGTCACTGGTCTCAGTCCTTCTACACTGCCTACAACTGCACTGCCCATTGGCTTGGTTTCTAAAACAGAGTTGCTTGTTCAGATTTTCAATCTGTAGGCCCATTTTACCACAATTGCTGCACTACAAGATGTCAACTAATCGATCGGAATGCAGGCCCGTGTTTCTTTTAAAACAGCTTCACCACCGAAACCGGTGTGGCTCAGTGGACAGAACATTGGTCTGCGGACTGAAAGGTCCCAGGTTCGATTCCGGTCAAGGGCATGTTCATTGGTTGCGAGCACATCCCTGGGTGTGCAGGAGGCAGCTGATGGATGTCTCTCTCTCTCATTGATGTTTCTAGCTCTCTATCCCTCTCCCTTCCTCTCTGTAAAAAATCAATACAATATATTTTTTTAAAATAAAATAAAACAGCTTCACCACTTCCCTCCCGCCCTGTGCTCTCAGCACAGCCTCAGTAAGGACCCTGGGGTCCTGCCTCTCAGGGGCTGTGACCCTGAAAAGAAGCCCAGGAGAGAAGCGGCGGCTCTAGGAAGGTCCTGACCAAAGCAGCCCGAGGTCAGAGGGGGTGAGACGCGATGGACGAAAACGGATAAGCGGTGGCTCCCAGCTCGAGGCGGGAAGTCACTGATGCATCTCTGCCTCAGTTTCCTCACTTATCACGAAGGGACCGCTGTGCTGAGGGTGGTGATGCCCGCCTAGCGGACAGCTGGGGAGAGAAACCGCCTTCAGGCAGGGTGAGGCGTGGAGGAAGCGGCCTCTGACTGTCGGCTCTGACCGCTATGCGAAAGCGATGCTTTGAAAGATAAAGGAAGCCTGTGATTTTCAAGGGTTTGCCTTCAATGTGTCAACAGCGATCTGTCTTTAGAGCCAGAAAAACAAACATGCAAGAAAAGCCGAACCGCGCAGGCCAGAGAGAAAAGCAGCAAATGCTTTTAGAGGCTCTTTTCCTGAGTCACAGCTGGGCATTCCAGCCTGCAGGTGCCCCTAGGTGGCATCAGAGGACCAGCCCCAGAAAAGAACGTCCAGACCAGAAAGCACGCCTCCTTAATGAGAGAACACAGACGGAGAAAGCCAGGAGAAAAGGGAAGAGAAGAGCAGCGAGAGAGGTTAAACAAAAATTCCAGAATGACTCTTTCTATTGGCAATGAGACAGCTAACACAAACATCTGCTGGGGAGGGGGGGAAGAAAAGGAAATAAGAGAGCTAGGCAATAAAGCAATTAGTAAGATTAAAAGATTGTGCTGGCATTAGTACTACTGTGGATACGTTATTATAGAATTATAATATCCATCATAAGACTATTAGCTGATTTATTACTTTAGCAGAGCATTAGTAGTAAGTAATATTAGCTACATTTTTAAACTTAAAAGTGAGGAAAACCAGCAACCGTATTACTCATAGTTGCCATTTGCCTACATCAGGTGCGCTCAGAGACCTCCACGCTCCCAGTCTCCCAGGTCTGGGACTGGAGGACACGACCCTGGCTCCACACCATGCCCAGACGGCCTCAAGGTCATTGCTAACAGAGCAAGCAGCGGACAGGCCGTGGCAAGGAATACACACGTTTTGGGGAACAAACTCTTCCTTCCAGTCCCTGCAGCTGGTGGAGGCTGGGGTCAGAGACATGTTAGTCTTCGCCATCTGCTTTGGAAGCGAAGGATGCAGGGCATTAACGCTCTCTGGTTAGCGGAGGGGAAATGACTCTGTTTCCTGCTCCAGGAACCCACAATGCACGTGGCCGAGGTCACATCTGGGGGTGACCCCTCGTCCCCAGTGCTCTGGCGCTCTGCCTGCAGACCCCTCCTGGAAGGGCTTTGGAAGAAGATGGCGAGGACGGGAAAGAGTGTAGTTTGGTTTCCAAATCTCCAAGCTGACCTGGGGCCCAGCTTTCAGTCTCCAGGTGGTGACGGAGGGGAGCGCCATTTCTGACACAGCGGACAGGGCTTCCTGTGCTAATCCTCCTTAGTGCGAACTGAGGGAAGCTTCACATCACACACCGAAGCGCCCGAGGAAGGACTACCCATGGGCCATCTAATAACATCTCATAGAAACGTTATAGAATGGCATTTACACGTTACATAAATATTACCTAATAACATGTACACATACATGTATATACATATTTCAATATGTAATTACACATTATATAGAGATGACTTAGGCATGATATGCTATACACATGTTATTGGCTATAGTAGGTCTACATATATATTGTGTTGCATATTATGTTATTAAATATATAACACACAGATTATATACTCTCTGTACAGTGCACGGGTAACATATAATTCATTCTGATGGCTTGCTGGATGGCATACTAGGTTTCTAAGAAGGAAAACTTTTTCAAAATTCAACTTCCAATCCTCAGATGCAAAGAAAGGGCGGCCATGCAAAATGTTTTAACATTCGAAGTCAGTGGACACAATCACTTCATTTCAAATGAGGCAGCCACAGAGCTCTCAGCACACCAGACCAGGGGGCCTCCGTCCACTTCTGGAGGAGAAACCAAGCTCCAAAGAGACGGAGGCAGGAGCCCCAGGCTGAGCTCTGACGTCAGTGCCGGTGGAGAAGATCCAGGCCCAAGAGGTGCAAATACAGAGCAAGGGCCTGGCACAGAAGGGAGCATTCTTGTTTGGGTGGTTTATTTTGCATCAAGTGCTAACCCAAAATTTGTGTAGCACCGACTGCCGCAAATTACACCGACTGCAAACCCTTATGCTGGCGGAGAGTCGTGGTCACGGCCAACACGCCATGTGTGCTGGAAACACTGGAATAAATGTTTCTCATCAACTCAGTAGAGACTGTCTTCATTCCAACAGATGTCGGCCAATCTCGTAGCATTTGAATTTATGCTGCTAAGTTTATACAAGAAGAGCGCTTCCAAATGTTCCCACTGGGGGCCGTGGCCAAGATAAGTGGAGGGAAGGTGAAAAGAGAGGCCAGTTTTAAAGTGATCAATAAATCACACTCCATTTATTCTTAGCGGCCAGTGGTACTGAACACTGTCCTGCCTGCCTCTGAGTTTTCCATGTCAGCCACGTTCTTGAATAACGTCACTTAGCTCAATGCCATGCTGTTATCGCATTGATGAGATGCTGTAGAAACTTAAATCTTGTTGATATCAATTAGTCTGTGGTAACATTGGTTTCCTTCTGTGACATTTTGCCACAGTTCCAAGAACCTATTGATGATGTTAGTGAGGATTTCACTGTGGTTTCTTTTGTTTGTGATAAAATGTATATACATTGAAATGTACGGATATCTACGCTGCTAGACCTTCAGAATCATAGCATGATTTATGTCAGCCAACAATCTCTTGGCTCCGTTGTTAAAATTTTACTGTGGATCAATTCCAGACTCTTTATTCCATTGGCCTGTCTGTCCTCTTATAACAATATCATACTGTCTTAATAACTAACTTTAGAGTAGTAAGTCTTGAAATCAGGTGAAATCCAACAACTCTATTGGTCTTTGTTGTTGTTTTTTAAGACTGCTGTGGTTATTCTAAGGTCTATGCACTTCTTTAAGTTTTAAGATTGGTTTATAATTTCTTTTTTAAAAATTGTACTTGATTGAACCTAAAGATTAATTTAGGGAGAATTGCTCTCTTCAAAATGCTGCGTTTTCCAAACCACAAAATGGTAATTTCTCCACTTTAGATCTTCTTTAATTTCTTTCAGTAATATATTTATTTTTCAGTGAACAGACAGTACAGCTCTTGTTAAATTTATTCCTATTTTATGATTTTTGATACTTTATAAAGAAAGCTTTAAGATTTCATTTTCCAGTTGTTTGCTGTTAATGTGTAAAAATATCTCACTTGTATATTCCGATGTTGTATCCAAAAATCTTGCTAAATTCAATTATGAGATCAAGCAACATTTTTACAGATTTCTTTGGAATTTTTACATGAACATCTTCTATAATTAGAGTTTACTTCTTCCTTTTTGACCATCATGTCTTTTATTTATTTCTTGACTTATTGCTATGGCTAACCACTCCACTACTATGCTGAACAGAAGTGCAAAACACATTTGCTTGATTTTCAGTCTTTCAGAGGAGGAAATTCAGTCTCCTCACACTAAGAATAAAGTGTTTTGTTCACTGCCTTTATCAGGCTGAGGAAACTATCTCCATTTCTAGACTGCTGAGAATTTTTAAGAATGAATGTTGGATTAATAAAACTTTTTCTGTACCTATCATCTATTTTCTGTATCTATTAAGATTATTTTATTCTCCTTTATTTTACTAAACCTGAATTACACCAAGGGACTGACTTTCAAACATTAAACTATTCCCGGGACAAAACTTCATTCGCTGCAGACTATTATCCTTCCTATACCTGCTTGACCGTATTGTTAATGGGTTGCACCTCGGCTCATTTGATGATCTACAACTTCTATTTCCTGCATTGTCTTGTCTGGTTTTGCCATCAGGATGATAATAGCCTCATGACTGTGGGATTAACTCCTTTGCCATCTCAGGGACCAGGGCCTTGAGCACGGACTTGGTCTACGACTGGTCGGCAGAAGTCATGGCTCACACGTAGTCCCACTTCCGACATCTCCACACCCGGGAATAAAACCACTGGCAGGTAAATGTCAGGACATGGTTTGGCTTCAGAGCCCCACATTCCTTGCCATTACCAAATGATATGAAGTTGTTAGAGATAAACTCAGTTCCAATCCCAGTCCTGCCACCAGGTTTTAGTTTTGCACTAAGGAAATGGTGCTCATTTTACTGATGGTGTGTGTGTGTGTGTGTGTGTGTGTGTGTGTGTGTGTGTGAATTAGAGCAATGAGTATAAGCAGGTGACGGAGCCTGGGGCAGAGTAAGCTCCATAAGAGATGGTTCCTACTGTCATCACCATGAAGTGCTTCTCTGATATTAAGAACACATATAAAAGGGAGACTTACGGAGCTTTATCCTAGAAACCCAAGCTGGTGTTCCACACTTTATTGCAATGCCGAACGAGTCCCTGCCCCTAACCTTTCTCTGTGTTGGGAGAGGGGTGGGGAGAGGATTCAAGAGCACTACCTACCCTGAAGGTGACCGGGCTTTTTCCTCAGGGCTTAAAAAAATCAGGCTTCCTTCTCAAACTGAAATTATCTGCTTAACAACTCGGCAGAATGGACATGTGTCCAGCCCACCGCAGAGCAGTGGCTGGGCCCTGTCTGGACTCTTGCTTAGTGAGTGAGAAAGGCAGTGAGGAGGAGGAAAGACTCTTCAGACAGAGGCTCTGAGGGTCCAGACAAAACAGCACACAGTGCAGTACAGACAGGTGGCCCAGCCCGTTCTCAGACACAAAGTCAACAGCTTTCACTCCACACTTCAATCCTGAGTGGGGTGTTTGTTTTCACTGAGTCACTGAAGAGAATCAAAGGCTTCTGACTTTGAACATTACATAGGCCACAAAAAAGAAGGTTTCTAAGGCAATACATAAAATTATGCCCAGCCTCGCCCCAGGAGAAGGGTAGCAATCCTGATGTACTCATTCTGTGGCTACAGACATAAAGTTCCCTTTGTGCCACAAAGCAGAAAGAAAGAGGAAATAAATTTTTAAAGAACCTGTTTATAAGAACATCAAACAGCAAAATAAAACCACTCAAAATATCTACATGCACAGTTATCTGAGGACAGACTAATGACGCAGGAAGGAGCGTGTTATATAAGCTGAATCAAGCAATCATAAATTCTTACCAAGGCTTCATGATCTTCTGCAACTTCTGGTATCGTCTGCAAAATTGAAGAACAATCATGTGAGGAGCATGTTTGAAAGCAAAAAATTTTTACACAAATTACATATCTTGAAGAAAGCTCAAGATTAGATATAAAAAGACTTAACCACCATAAGGTAACATATTATTCAAAGTAATATACTGATTGGAATTCTCTAATGATAAGAATCATAAGGGTTAAACTACTGTAAGCAGCATTCATTTATGAGTAAGGGCAATAAGACCACTCCATTTGACTCAGAATCGGTATGTGTTCAAGGGCGAGGGGAGGGGGAAGGGGATCCCTAGAGATAATAAGAATAAGGTACACTTTCAGTGAAAAGGGTGATCTCTAAAAGTACTAGAGTTGTTCTTAAGAGTATCCTCAACAATGAAAACGGAGTTGATTATCTTTCTTGAGTAAAATGCTCACTGATTTTACTTTCTCTTTTCTTGAAAGAAATAAAATTCTGAAGAATAACATCCTGAGACATGGTAATAGTCTTGGACAATAGATGGGACTCCAGGATGGTAGCCTGCAAGAAAAGCGTGCCATGGACACATCTTGTCTGCAAAAAAGGGTGATTATGCTTCTTAAAACACTGGGGTCAAGAAGATAAGGAGCCGAAACTGGTTTGGCTCAGTGGATAGACCATCGGCCTGCAGATTGAAAGGTCCCAGGTTCGATTCCGGTCAAGGGCATGTACCTTGGTTGCGGGCACATCCCAGTAGGGGGTGTGCAGGAGGCAGCTGATCGATGTTTCTCTCTCATCAATGTTTCTAACTCTCTATTCCTCTCCCTTCCTCTCTGTAAAAAATCAATAAAATACATATTTTTTAAAGATAAGGAAGCAAGCGATTCTCACCTTGTCAAACCACTTGCATTCCCAGAGTCTGCCACGTTTCTGGCATTAAGTATGTTCTCCCCTCTGTATGCAATGCCCACCCCTCCTTGTCCAGCTAGCTAGGTCCCACGCTCAGCTGACCTGGTTCTGAGGCGCGGGGAGCCTCCCTGACCGCTGATGTCCTGCCTGGCAGACTGAGCCCGCCATGTCTGCATGTGCTGAGGACACGCCAGCTGCATGACCTAGGACATCTGTCTTTCCCAGGGCTCCATCTGCACTGTGACTCACCACTGTAACGCCAGGCACGTGCAGAGTTGGCTCTCAATAAATGGTTGATGAATAATTTGGCTCCTTAGAAGTTACATTTCACATGTCAACCACATAAAACATAACCACTTCAGAAACCTAACTGACCATGAGAAGATCAGATCTAGTCTTTGGCAAAATGGGGTTTGAAAATATATATTTAAAGAGATCTTCCTCTTCCTCCTCTCCTCCTTTATCTGCCATTCTTTCTAAAAACAAAACCAGCCAAAACCGGTTTGGCTCAGTGGTAGAGAGTTGGTCTGCGGACTGAAAGGTCCCAGGTTCGATTCTGGTCAGGGACATGTACATTGGTTGTGGGCACATCCCCGGTAAGGGGGTGTGCAAGAGGCAGCTGGTCGATGTTTCTCTCTCATCGACGTTTCTAGCTCTCTATCTCTCTCCCTTCCTCTCTGTAAAAAAATCAATAAAATATATTTTAAAAAATAAAAAATAAAAACAAAACAAAACAAAACCAAAAGTGCATTGGCTTCCTTCCTTCCTCCTTCAGAAAGCTGTGGGTCTGGGTAAGGGAGTAGGTGACCACAGGGGGGCCCTCTGGGAAGGACTGAACAGTACCTCCCACTGCAGGGAACTGGCCTCCTTGGAGAGTGGCTGCTGCCAGGGCTGGGACAAGGAAAGAGTTAGCTCAGTCTGGAACATCTCACTGAGCCGGAAAGTAAAGAAATGCTCACAGAATAATGGGAGGCAGGTCAGGACACAGAGACAGCCTGAGAAGGTTCCACAGCCAGATCTGGGACAAACTGAGCATCAGAATAAATAATAGCTGATAGGTGGTGGCCCACTGAGCACAACAGGAGCAGATACGTCCACACTGTTTTACGGGGCGGTGTGCCAGTGCTGCTGAAGAACCAGTCTCTCAGGGAGAAACACACAAGCCTCGTTGGTGCCATTTTCCATGGTGTTAATTACTCCAGAATTATTAAGGACAAAGGGGTGGCATATCTTCAGTGGTCAAAGTAAACAGCAGTAACAAGACAGAGAGGCACCCTGTGCAGTCAATATGGCTCAGAGGATAGAGCGTTGGCCTGTGGACTCAAGGGTCCCAGGTTCGATTCTGGTCAAGGGCATGTACCTTGGTTGCAGGCACATCCCCAGTAGGGGTGTGCAGGAGGCAGCTGATTGATGTTTCTAACTCTTTCTCCCTCTCCCTCCTCTCTGTAAAAAATTAATATATATTTAAAAAATAAATATGATGCAATTAAAAACAAAACGCACATGCATCTGATATCCCAGCCATAGGCATATGTATGGGTCTAAAATTTGGATAAGACTATAGGAAAAATAAAATGTTTCAGGGGGAAATTATGCAGTGTTTATGTAGCATACTCTCTGGGTTATCAGCTTCCTTCTACCTTATTGTCTAACTGATGCATATGTATTTTTTTTCCTGTCTGTTAGTAATTTAATTGACTTCCTCCCTGCTGGTGAAAACCCAGTTTTGTCTCCATTTGCAATTCATTTCAACATTCCTGCGCTCCAAATCAATTTGAGCCCCTTTAACTTTTCCTTTGAAATGGTTAAAACATTTTGCCTGGCTCTCTGGCTTCACATGAGCAAAATGAATTCTTTTAACATGTGTTCATTTTTATATAAAACGTGCTTTTATCTTTCTCTGAAAATTAACTTTAATGAATTACCTTTAACAAATTCAAATTGGAGGATATTCTACAAAATGGCTGATCTATAGTCTTAAAAAGTGCCCAAGTCATGAATGAAAGGAACAAGTGAGAAACAGTTCCAGACTGAGAGAGGTTAGGAAAAGGCAGGACACTGGGTGCGAGGCGCTACCTTGGGCCCCTGACCTTGCAACTTCAGTGTGTGACTTAAATTAAGGAGGAGGCTGGCAGACTGAGGTCGCTCCAATGCCTTGAAGGACTACGCAAGCAAACCAAAATCTAAGCTAATAACTGCCTCAAGTTTTCAACCAATCACAGCCAACCAGACTTTAACTGTAGCCAATCAAAATAACTGTTTTGCCCTGCCTCTTCTCTATAATAGCCTTTCCCTCAGGTTCCTGTGGGCAGAGTTCCTCACCACCTCCAGTTTGGCACTGAGCAATTGGAATTGATTTTTACTCAAACAAATGCTTAGAATTTTCAATATGTCCCCGTTTATCTTTTAATAGAACTGTTTCAAAATAAATCGCATGATGTGTGTGTGCAGAATATGTAAAGCAGGCACAGCAATTTTTCAAGAGCCTTCTGGCCTGGGGCCTGGACACCTGAGTATTTTACCTGCGCTCCCACTCCGGGGGCCCCCCTGGCCTGGGAGAGCTGCCCTGACCAGGCCGCAGAGATAAACTCAGCCACCAGTCACCGAGTTCTTACCCCTCAGCTCCCTCACGTAGCTTCACCTTAAGCGGGAGCACAAGAGGAACTGTTTGTTGTGATGTCTGTTTTGCTAACTGAGGGTCTTCCTTTCTGTGTCTCTCAATACCCAGTTTTTAAAGAGACAGGACAAGAAGAACAGAAGATTCTGGAAAGGCTGTTTCCTTGCAATGGCCAGCAGCCTGTTATTTCAGCCCAAGGTCTGGCATTCCTTTCCCAAGCGGAAGATAATCTCTCCCTGGGCGGTGGGACCCCTCTCCTTTCCAGCGCGGGAGGCCCACAGACACCGAGACAAAGCGAAGAGGGGTGGGTGGAGGGAGATCCAGCGCCAGGAATTTTCCGCCCCACAGCCCCTGACAAAGCCCTGGGTGGTGGGCCTCTTTGGTGTTTGTGATGCAAATGTCTCGGGAGGTCCTCCGAGGGCTGCTCCCCTTGGACCTGCCTGAACTTGGCAGGGTGCATGCCCCAGGCCGGCAGGCAGGGGGAGCTGGAGACCCGCAGCCTTTATAGCTGGTGGGCCCCGCAGACCGCACAGAGCAGCCTCTTTTGGGCAGGGCGGAGGGCAGTTTGCTCCCCACGTGAAGTGCAGGCCGGGCACCTGTGACTTGCACTTGGTGGCCCCGCGGGGAGTCTGGCCGCCTGGGCCTTGCAGCACAGCCCGGGTCTATAGGCCGCGCCAAGCTCCCACGCAACAGCACCAGTTAGAGCTAAAAGCCCTGTCCCTGGAGACCACAGTGTGGCTTCCAGAGAAGAAATTCGCCTTTTGTGCAAAGGCAGCATTTCAAAGAATGTCACTCAGAGTCTGAAACTGTCACCTGCCATTCGGCAGCTTGCTTTTCATACCTGACAGTATTTTCTTGTGACTGAATATTACTCCCCTCATCATATTACTTCCCCCATCCGCCTTGTGCCTAAGCCCGTGTCCAGAACACGCAGCACTCAAACACCAGGAATATCCACCTGCTAAATGAATAAACCTAACATCCACCTCCGAGTGTGGGTGCTGGGCAACAAGGGAGCCAAGGCTGCTTCATCCCGGGCTTCGTGCAGCCACGCCTGGGTTTTCTAGGTAAGAAACCCACAGCCGTGATCCCCACAGGAAAGAAATGTGCGGACAATGAACGTTTAATGAGAAACTTCACACACACACACACACACACACACACACACGCACACGCACACAGGATAGGATGGGGAGGGACTGATCTGATCGTTTCTATGATTGTTTGTTTCTAAGGCCATTGCTCAGGGGCTGAGCCTGCGTCTAAAATAACTGGACTCTTTCCCCTGGTTCTCATCGGCCAGATTCGGGAGCGATGACTTCAAACCGAGCAAATGAGAAGTCCCCAGCTTAGGAAGAACTCCAATACCTCACTGGCTTTCTTAGAAAAGCCAGAGTCCCTCAGGGAACATCAGCCCAGTGCTGACTGGAGTGTTGGAGAGAGACACAGCTGCACGGCCAAGTACAGATCAGGGCGTTTCGGCAAGCTGTGGAATGCTCCTGTTTTACAACAGCTTGA